GGCTGCTGAGCCTGTGTGTCCGGAGCCTGTGCTCTGCAACGGAAGAGGCCACAACAGTGAGAGGGCCGCAGACAACAAAAAAAAAAAAAAAAAAAAAAAAAAAAAAAAAAGAATCCAGACCCTGGGACCAGATGAGCTAAGTTCCCATCCCAGCTCAGCCACTTACTAGCTCTGTGACTTTCCACGGGTCACTTCACTTCTCTGTGCCTCGTTTAGTGGGAACGATAAAGTGGGAATAATAACTGTACCTCTCTCATCAGGCTGTGAAAATTATAGGAGTTAATATATATGTAAAGTGCTTTGAATAGCACCCGGTGTACAGTAAGTGCTCAATAAATGTTAGCCATTATTAGTTATTCTTGGTTTCCTAGTGTAGTCAGGGTATGCTTTGTTAGGTTTAATTGATTATTTTAGTTGATAAAAGGCTGCTATGTAGACTATGAATCGATTAGCACTTTTTATACAAATGGAATATAAATCAATGGTATTCAATTTAAAGACCCTGCTGGTCACAAGTCTACAGACTTTCGGGGCTGAAGGGACGGTACAGAAAATCTTATTCAATATCTTTATTTCGTGGCTGAAGACCCCCCAGCCCCACGGGGCTGAAGCCACTTACCGAAAGCCACGGAGCAAGGCAGAGAACAGCCAGGATGTGGTTGCTTCCGATGACGCTTCAGGATCTCAGAAGGCTGCAGCAAAGTTTCCATTATGGCATCAATTATCATCGCACTGATAAGCCAGCTACTGGAGCATTCTGTGCCCATCAGAATGACAAAAGCATTTACATATTTGGAACTGTCAATATACAAAGTAAATATAGGTAAGGAAGCCGGCTTTGCTTTACACCCTCATGCTATTCTTTACTATCCTGATAGAAAATGCTTGCAGTTGGGGGTGTTTCTATGTGTTTGGATTTCAAACATGCCTTGCAAGACATTTTTTTTGTTAAAACTATAATAAAAAACAGTCTGAAGGATTAGAAATAGAGAAGCCTGGCACCACCCAGGCTTTACCACTGGAAGCATTTACACCTCGGGAGGCGCACAGATAGGGCACACGCAGATAATCAAAGTTTTATTTAAATTGCAGAACACTTAAAAATAAACAATATGATATGCTTGAATGTTTACTGTTAACACAGAAAAAGGCTTTCAAATACACTAAAACCTTCAATTTCACCCCAAAGTATGCTATGCAGCCAGTCGAAGTGCTTTGACAAGCATCCCTCTCTACAGGTGGCTGGGGTAGGAGGTAGGCTGCGGAGTTCCCTGCAGGCAGGTGGTCTTCCTAGTCAGACTGACGACGTTTTTTCTTATGGCTCTCAATCGCCCTTCTCAGCACCTCGTCCTGGATGAGATCAGACATTCTCACGTCTGTGTGGCTACAGCCAATTTTCGGGCAACTGTGAGGGATGAGAAAATCAAGTCAGGCCGCTTCACCTTAATGCCTTCAGCGTAAACTTCTCTCACATGCAAGAATTTAAGGGAGGGCATTTTTTTTTTTAATTGAATGAAAGATTCTTTAAATTCTATAGTGTTTTACAATTTTCAAAAGTTTCACACAGGTGATTTCATATAATCCCATAATAACCCCTTGTTTTTCTTCTCACCCCTATGTTGCCCCTCCCCCTCCCTCTCCCCACCGAGAGCCACGAGTTTGTTCTCTGTATCTGTGAGTTGGCTTCTTTTTTGTTTTATTAGTTTGTTGTATGTTTTAGATTCCACAGATAAGTGATATCACACAGTATTTGTTTTTCTCTGACTTATTTCACTTAGCATAACGTCCTCCAAGTCCATCCATGTTGCTACCAATGGCAAAATTTCATTCTTTTTTACGGCTGAGTAGTGTTTACGTGAAGACATTTTACCAAAACAGGAGCACACTTAAAAAATCAGGACCGATGTGCACTCATTCATTTGTTCACCGGGTCATTTGTTCACTGAGCCAGGGCCTGTCCAGCACCAGGCGCAGGGCAATGCCCACTGCACAGCACTCACTTTGCAGTGGGGGAGACAGACCTTCGCTAACTCAGCCGCATAGATGCTTGCTGTGAGTTCACGTGCCATTAAGTGCTACAAAGGCTAAAAAGCAGGGTCAAGGGACAGAGTGTGAGCTAAGGGGCTTATCTAGAGGGGGTCAGGGCAAGGCTCACCGGGAGGTCTTATCTAGAACAAGGGCTGCATGAGGCTCGGGCTGGGGCAGCAGCACGTGTAGATGTCGAGGAGATAGCCGCTTGGTGCCCGGGAGTAAGAGCAAGGTCAGTGTGCCTGGAATGCCCAGGGCAAGAGGGAGGGCATTTGGAGATTTGGTTGGAGGGCGTGTGGGGCTTTGGATTTTATTTTAAATATGAAAACAATGGAGGGGTGGAGACAGGGGAGGGATGGGATTTGGCTTACACTTAGAAAACATGACTCTGGCTGTTTAATACAGAAGACAGGCAGAGGGGAAGCAGGGGAGAGAGGGGGATTGTGCAGCAGCCAGCAGAGTGAGGGCAGCTTGGATGAGGGTGTAGCAGTGAGCAGCCTTGGGATACAACCGGAAATAGAACCTATGGGACTTGCTGATGGACCCGATGTGGAGGGTAAAGGAAAGAGCTGAGCTTTGTGCAGAGTCTGGCCCGAGCCGAAGGGGACTGGTGGTACCCTTCATCGCCATGGAAACAATGGGAAAGCCGGGATGGGATGGAGTCAGGCAGGAGTCCTGGTTGTTACGTGTTCCCTCCGAAATGCCCACTAGTCCTCCCAGTGGAGAGACTGAGTGGGCTGATGGGGACTCAGGGGAAAAGCTGTGGCTGGAGAAATCAGTGGGTGAGTCACGGTTCTGTTTACATGTGGTCTCCTCTGAAGGCAGTGGGCTGGATGAAGTCACCTGATTTCTTGTCAACATGAACCAGACTCTGGTAGAGTGCCCAGTTTTGTAGTCAAGCCAACCTAGGTCTGAATTCTAACCCCAATGCCTACTTGCTTATTATGAGACCACCGCCAACTCACTTTACCGTTTGGAGCCTCTGTGTCCTCAGATTTACAATAGGGGCAGAATCCCACTTTCACGGGCTCCAGGCAACACAGTGCTCAATAACTTTCATTCCCTTCACCATCTCCTATGACTATCACCAGTCTCCTGATGAAAGTTGCTGATCTGTCTATAGACTGCATACCTCCAACACAGACGGGCGCACATTCGTGCATTCATTTGACCCTCTTATGTGATTGGCCCTGTGCTAGTTCTAAGCACCCAGCTGTAAAATACAAATATAGGTTCCCGCCCCACACAGAGCTCTGGCCCAGTGACCTGAGACAACCCTCCAAAAAGCACAGATCAAAAATAACAAATTTAAGACAAACGCTATAAACCAGAAGGGGAAGAAAGCGGATCATGGGAGCTCTAATTTGTCCAGCAGTAGAAAGCTCAACAGTTCAACACAAAAGTGAAACTTTTTCTTGGTCTTGATTTCTGGACCAAGGCATCTTTATATTAGAGGAGCATTAATCAATGTAATGAATAATATGCTTGCTAACAATGTTTGTATTTAAAATACTGAAATGTGTCCCTGTATGGTTGGGGACATGTGTTAAAATGTGATTAAAGAAAGGCAATCATATGAAAGACGATGGGGGTGATTTGGCCCAGGTATGATGATTTGGCTTTGCGTTGGGGGAAGGATTGGAGGTGCCTGAGAAATGCTTTACACTGGTTTAAAACACCCTGCTGTCTCAAAGTGAATTCTTTCTTTCAGTATGAAAGTAAATAAGGTGAGATTATGAAAAGGATATGGACACTTTCCTGACTTCAGCAAGGCAGTTTTCATCACTCCCACTTCCACGACATGGAAGTGCAAGCTGAAGTTGGTGGCTGGGATGACCCTCAGTTAATGCTTATCAACCCGCTGATCATTCACACTGACTGCCAGGCTGTAATCCCCCCCGCTTCACAGAACAAAGTCTTTAATACCAATAGTCAGACAGTGAATAAGCTGCTTTAGGGAAGTGGAGAGGGAGGTGGGGAGGACTTCCTGATGACATCAGTGGTTTTAGTCAGTAAATGAGAGCATTCTGAGAATGTGTGATGGGATTAACCACACCAGTCAGTTGCAGAGCTGGCATGCACATTATCCCAGGGCCACCCGTGTCAGACAAAGAGGTCTGAGCTCACTTAGGGTATCAGCCCAGGGGACAGAGGCATTAACCAAAACGCCCTCCCAACGGGAGCCAGACGGCCTAAAGACACTACAGGCTCAAGGGTGAAAAAGACCTGGGCTCAAGCCTCCTGGCTGTGACACTCTGGGCAACTGATGTCATTAATGGGCCTCAGTTTCTTCCTCTAGGAAGGCAGAGCATAGGGTTGCTGTGAGAATGAGTAGGATGCGTGCGACAACGGTCCAGGAATTCACTCAGGTGCTCGATAAGCTGGTTCCTGCTCTAGGACACAACTTCTGTTCTCTAGAACCTTGTGGAGAAGAGCCGGGCCCACCTACAATGCTGGCAGGAGGCAGGCGTTGTGGGAGCACAGGGGCGGGGCACCTTGCGCAGCACAAACGGGGGTTCCAGGAAGGTTTCCCGGAGGAGACGTCGATGCAGGAGAACCTTGTTTCTCACCGTCTCCATTAAACAAGCACAAGTTTCTAAACTAAAGAGCAGAAGACGAGGTCATAGTGACATGATACTGACTCAGGGCACTCCTCCTCTGGAGAAAGAACACTCTATAAGCATTAGTGCATTCACCCCCACGACATCCTGGTGAGCAAGATAGGCGTGGCAACACCCAGTCGTAAGCCCTTGTGTCATTACTGTGTAAGAGTCAGACCTACAGGCCTGGAAGGAGAGGCTGGGTCCTGAACTGGGGTCACTGACAGGGCAGAACATTCCACTGCAGCAGTGGGCAAGCGTGTAAGTGTCTGCTGAACGAAGGGACCGAGTCTTAGGGGGTCCCAGAGGCTCTGGGGACCCTAGGCCTCAGCATCAGCTCAAAAGTACAGGATTCTGGGTCTGACGAGCTCCTGGATCTGGGCCCCAAGAATTCCAAAGTCCAGCCCAGCTCTAGAAAGCAGGTCTGGAAATGTGAGTGGGATGGATTCCCATCATACCTAAACACAGAGTGTAACCCTATCCTACATCCTCTGAGTCTAAAATAATGTGTCACTAAGCAGTGAGGTAAGTAATACAAACAGGAACAGTCTTGACCTCAATAACCCGACTGCTATTTGTTCAGCGCGCTATAGTCCCAAAAGAGCTTTCTCCTGAGTGCTTTGCTTCTCCACTGCCAAGAAATTTGCTGGTCCAGACCTAGACTGGAATTCCACACTGTTCCTTTGATCCTGAAATTCTGTGAGATGTTGCTATTTCCATTTTACAGATGAAAACACTGAGGCTCTGAGAGGTTAATGGACTTGTTGGTAAATGGTTAAAATAGGGCCTCCAAGCGCAATGCTGGAGTTCTGCTATTCAACGACACATTTCTGTTCAACTTAATTGTACTCTCCGTGCTCTTGAATGTGACTGTTTGTTAATATAGTCTCTGTTCTTAAACAAAAAAGGAAAGAAATGACTATGGATAATAGGAAATATCTTATTAATATGAAAATCATAAGGCAGCTTTATTAGTAAGATAATAAACAGCCTGATTATTAAGAGATGTGTTTTAAGGAATTATTCTAACTATTGTATTTAGTTAGGGCTAAAGTCGGAACAATGGAGACTTTAAAATGGAGTCAGTGCCAGTAACACAATGTAACTGGAACTCCTGTCTGACAAAACATAGTTGGAACCAACAAGGAGGAAAAACTGAGATTTCTCAGACTGGATGTGTCATAGACATTTTTAAACAAAGGGAAGCCGGAACTGCTCATCGCCCTAACATGCGTCCTGGGAAACAACACTAATTCGTGTTTAATCAGGAACCTCTGGAGTAGGATTTGAAGAGGCCCTGGATTCTAACCTGTTGCCGAATACAATGTACCTCATCCTCAAGATCCTGGCACTCCAGCACTGGCTCCTGTGATACCCAACTTGCTTATCTCTCATCCCTTCTCTCCTGGCTACATCTCAGACTGCTTGGTTGGAGCCTTCTTCCTTTGACTGCCCTTTCAAAATGGCAGAATGCTTTTTTGTGGGTCTATGTTAGGTGTTGGGGGAACGCGGTAAGCAGAGCAGAGCTGGATCCTGGCCTCGCGTTGCTCAGAGCCAGGCCAAGGTCCCGTCCTTGAGGGTTCTCAGTTGGCTGTCACATCTGGTCCAGAGCTGTACCTGTGCTGGTCTGACTCCTCTGTATCAATAATCTCACAGTCAACATCTCACACTCAGAGCTCTCTCCCGAGCTCAAACACCCACATTTTCTGTGCCTCCTGGATACTTCCAGATGGCTGTATTGCTAGGACCTCAAACTTAGCATGACCCAAACTGTGCCTCTTATATTCCTTCCCAAATGTGTTCCCTTTACGACCTCTCTGTCGGCTAATGACATCGCCATCCTTCTAGACACCCAGTTTAGAAATGTCAGTCATCCTTCCACTTGTTCCCTTCAACTTCCGGCTCCCAAATTCTGTCCATCGTACCTCCACGATCGTGTTCCTCCTCATTTCCCTCCACCTATGACTCCTGCCTCAATCCCAGCTCTCATTGTCCGTAACTTAGTCTACTGCAAACGCATCTGAATTGACATCTTCACCTCACGCCTTTTTTCATCCATCTCTTGAACTGCTACTGGAGTAACTTCCTAAAACCCAGGTTGACTCGCCTTACTCCCTCAAAACCCTGCAATGTTCTCTCAAACCTACAGAATAATGGTGGCAAGAATGATGATGAGGATAATGATGATGGGGGATAAAGTTTATTGACCCCATGACAGGTACTTTAAGTGCTCTACATATATCTTATTCAAATTCCAGACATACCAATGAGGCAATTACAACTATTATCATCAATTTATAGATGAGGAAACTAACGAAATCATGACATTTAACACCCTCTACAATGAGTATAGAATAGAGAGAGAACTAACATTAACTGTTCTTAACTAAGCGGTGAGAGCCCGCAGAGTTTGCCGAATCTGCGCCCGAGTTATAGAAGTACGACAGAAAAACATCCACCTTTTCCAAATGACGGGCGTGACTCAAGTGCTTCCAGACATCATTTACAATTCAAAAAAGGCAAAGGACATTAGTAAATCAAAGTATGTAATCAAGAAGATGCACTTAAATGTGAGCCTGCTCTGGGAGCTGCTCCCAGCCATCCTGGGACTTGGGAGAAATGTGCTTTTGTATCAGTGCCTGCCCTTTTCAAATCTGACTCGAGGAGAATGTCACAAACTTTAAGGAAGAAGACCTGTGACACAGAACTATCTGGGAATATACCTATTCTTAGCAATTATGTCAACAAATTAAAATTTTGTTTTTCAGAGAATAAACATAGAAAAAAGTTAGGAGAAAAAGAAGGCTTAGAAGTCCAGAAACAAAGAAAATTACACTCACAAGGGAAAATGAAAGATTCCTTAGGGAAATATGGTATCTCAGTTGTAAGCTGGAAAGTCAAAACAGATAAAAATGTGCTCAAACAATCTCGATTTTGTAATCATTAGGCAGTTCTTCTAGAATAAATAGGGCAAACTACTTGACTGAATGACCATCAAGATATCTGCAGTCTCAAATGCCCTATCTTTAAGTCCACACCCAGATGAGGAGTGGTGGGGAATTCCAGTTCTAGGTCTGGACCAGCAAACTTCTGGGCGATGGAGAAGCAAGCCACACATCAAAGGGACTGTTATCACAAGTCCATTGAGAACTGGTCACACCTGCAATTCCATTCCTTCGACAAATCTGTGATAAAAGCACAAGAAATGCCAACCAAGTCAAAGCTAGGCTAGCCAACTCAGGTTTCTAGGTTATTACAGGAACAGAGCCATGGTCCTCCAGGGTTGGAGCATGTGTGCATGTGTGCGTGTGTGTGTGCATGTGTGTGTGTGTGTGTGAGAGAGAGAGAGAGAGAGAGAGAGAGAGAGAGAGAGAGAGAGAAAGGGGTAGAAATATATATATAAAAGAAAGATTCTCTAAACATTCCAATTCAAATTTTTTTTCTCATTGCAGTCATCCATGAATTTACTTAAACCATTTGGGAAGTTATTTACGTAATTAAAGATATAAAAGGTTTTCCCGGACAATCAAATCTTGATCATCAAGACCAATCGGATACGAATTCTTATCTTAGAATGATGACTTAATATTTTTTTAAACAAACTACCTGTATTGCAGGATGCAAAAAAAAAAAAAAAAAATTATTTTTTTAACCATTCCTTCTTGTTTGGGTAAGTGCATATAGAAAGGGGAAAAGAAATCTCTCGGTATCACAGTTCTCTATTTTTTTCAGGCTCCAGCACAAATTCATAAAAATTTCTATTATCTAATGATTAACATTACATCCAATTCCTTTTTCTCGTGTTCTGAAGGTGTGGTTGAAGCTCCTTCAGTTTCTTCCTGAACAGATTACTAATTTGTTCCCTCATGTCCTGTTTTTCCATGTTGACACTATCCCTCCAGCTGAATGGACTTCAGGGGAGAAGTTTAAGTGTCTTTTCCTCCAGCGTGAACGCACCGCCTCGGACTGACCACCCCTGGGAAGGTGTCACTTCCCTTCCTGCGGCAACTCACCAGGCCTTTTTCTTCCGCTTGTGCTTGGACTCAATCATGCGAACAATGGCTTCCTCTTCATAGGTGTGGCCACACACTTTATTTTTCACTGGCTTCTTCATTTCCAACTGCAATCAAGGAGACATCAGGCTTTCAAGAATGATAGTGATCAGCTTCCAGTAACTTCTCCAAGCCAACAACTATTTGGCGCTATGTTTGCCTAGACCTGGGGCTTCCGAGGTTTAACCTCCCCGTCTCATGGCTCTAGATAACTCCTAGGGCAGATGACCACATCAGAAAATGCAGGGAGACCAGTGGCACCAATGACACTTGGCCTGTGGGCCAGGAATTTATTCCTAGATCCCTAAGGGCATCATTGGCTGAAAACTCTTTC